CTTAAACTATGCTCATTTTTTAAAAATTCTCTTTTCTTCTTACTCCTCTGATTGGGTGTTTTCCCTACCTTGTCTTCTAAATCACTGATTTGATCCTCCACTTCATCCAACCTACTGTTTTTTCCTTCCAGTGTATTCTTGATTTTGGATATTGCATTCTTCATTTCTGACTGGTCCTTTTTTGTGGTATCTATGTCCTTTTTCATGCTATTGATCATCCTGATAATCATTACTTTGAACTCATTAGCAGATAAATTGCTTGGGTCCATTTCATTTAGTTCTTCTTCTGGACAATCCTCTTGTTCTTTCATTTGGGGTCTGTTCCCTTGTCTCCCCATTTTGGCTGCCTCTTTGTGTTTGTTTCTGTGTATGAGATAGATCTGCTATTACTCCCAGTCTTGTTAGGGTGGCCTTGTATAGTAGGTGTCTTGTGGGACCCAGTGGCACAGTTTCCCTGATCATCTGAGCTGGGTGCTCTGGAATCCCCCTTGTGTATGTAATGTGGGCCCTCCTCTTATAATTGAGTCTTGATTGCTATTGGCCCATTCGTGCATGGGATCGACCCTCTGGCTGGCTGACTGTGATGCTCAACCCTGACCGTGGTGTGCAAGCTGCTGGGCAGGTGATCACACGAAGCAGAATTCCCTCAGCAGGGTTTGGTGCCTGTTGAGATTTCCCTGCAGATATGCTGCTTGTGACGCTTACTGGATCCCTGTTCTGTTGTTGTCTGAACCAGCAGGTGTATTGACTCTGGGCCTTTTCAGAGAGACTCCAGTGCAAGCCAATTTCAGACACTGCCTGTGCCTGGCCCTGGGCAGCCTGTTTGAAGCTATCAGTGATACACAGCTTATGGCTCTCTCTGCTGGGCCTGGTTGCATGTGGAAAGCACTAAGCTGCATACCAGGCTGGCTTTCGGCAGCACCAGGCCTGGGGGGCAGGTCAGCAAGTGTTTCAAAGCTCACAGAGATCTGCCTCCGCCTGCAGGCTCCAGTTAGACTTAGAGCCTCTCGTTGTACTCCTCAGCAAGGCATAAGCTCCATAGGGTAGGGAGAGAGGCATTCCAGTAGGTGGGTCTATTGCTGCCCCACCGGCTATGTGTATGGACCAGATTTCCCTGCCTGAGAAAGATGGCTTCTACAGTATAAAGGAATGACTCAGCACAGGGATCCTGGTGGCTGAGCCCTTAGCTCTCTCCCCAGAGCCACCCACCTCAGACTCTCCCCATGAAGCTCTAGTCCACTCTGCCCTCCCTCCGCCAGAGCCCAGGGTAAGTGACTACAAACAAAATTTGGGGCATTGGCCCTTTAAAGAGGATGTCTGTGTCACTAACCATCTCTCCCTAGTGGACAGAGACCCCATTGCTTTTCATAGCTGGATGCTATGTGGGCTCTTGTCCCAGTTCTGGTGCTCTAGGCTGGGGAGCCTGGCTTGGAGTTTAGACCCCCCACAGCTGAGATATCCCTCCAGAACTTCAGCTGCTGCCTATGACAGCCCAGTCAGCCCTCTTATACCTCTGCACTTCTTCCAGTCTCGATGTGGCTCCTTCTGTAAGTGCTTGGTTATATGGCTTCTCTCCGGCTAGTCTTCAGTTGGTTATTCAGGATGATTGCTCTATAATTTAGTTGTAATTCCAGTTTAGTGCTGGGAGGAGGTGAGTATAGCTTCCACCTAATCTGCCACCATCTTAGTCTGCCTCAGGAATTTCTAAATACACATGTGTGTATATATAAATTCAGGAGTATATATTTGACTAATAAAATTCTGAATTTTATATGTGGGTTGAGGGTGCAGACCCTCAAAAATCCAAGTATAACTTTGGACTCCCCCAAAACTTAACTACTAATAGCATTTTTATAACATACAAAGTATGTATTAATCAACTGTTTGTTATTAAAAAGTGCTAGTAAAAATAATAAGAGAAAATATAGTTACAGCTCTATACATATTTATTTTAAAGACTACATATAAGTGGACCCACACAGTCCAAATTCATGTTGTTCAGGGGTCAACTATTTATACACATCGGCCCTCAAATAACCTCATTTTTTTCAACATCATTTCATTTATAATGTTGATTTTTTTAACAATGATTCCCACCTGTCCGGTGTGGCTCAGTGGTTGAGCATCAACCTATGAACCAGGAGGCCACAGTTCTACTTCCAGTCAGGGCACATGCCCGGGTTGTGGGCTCAATCCCCAGTGTAGGGCATGCAGGAGGCAGCCGATCAATGATTCTCTCTCATCATTGATGTTTCTATCTCTCTCTCCCTCTCCCTTCCTCTCTGAAATCAATAAAAATATGTATATTTTTAAAAAATGATTCCCATACAGGGCCACTGTCTGTGAAGTTCGCACTTCTCCCCATATCTGTGCGGGTTTTCTCTAGGGAGTCCGGTTTCCTCCACATCCCAAAGCTGGGCTCGTTAGGTTAACTGGCACAGCTCCATTGTCCTGTGCTGAGCAGGTGGGTGTGGGTGTGGGTGTGATGGAAGGGGTCCTGTCCAGGGTGGCTCCTTCCTTGCCCATGAGCTACAGCGATAGACACAGCCACCTGCGACCCTGAACTGGAGAAAGTGATCTGGAAAGTAATTATCTTACTAGTCTTTATCAATCTTTCCTAAACGTATGTGTAGCTCACTTTTATTTCAATGTTTAATATCAGAAGTGTTTGGGTCTTTATTTAGACGTTAGGTGATGCTTTTGTGAGTAGGAATATGCTGTAAGAATGTAACTCTTGATTATATCAATCTATAGCAAGATCAGTTTCAGTATACATCATTTCCTTTAAAGTCACAGTTCCCAAGAACTTATTGATGACATGAAGTAAGGACATACAGTATATAAAATAAATCTCAGTCTTTAAAAATCCAGAAAAGCATTCAGATGCACCTTAATAATAACAGACTCCCTTTGAATTCTCAACTTCTGCCCTGCTTCCTTCTCCACAGACTGATTTATCTCCTCAGCAGATATCTTTGAGATAATTCTACAGAGTAAGTTGTCTCCTACCCTGGCTAAATGTTCCGACCTGAGCTCATGGCTCTTGCAGTTATAATAACTGGCAAATATCTATCACTCCTGGGGAGTTGTAACTCAGGATCCACTTCCCTATCATTAAACGTGTAGGGGAGTTGTTATCTTTGACCCAATTATGACAGAAAAAAATCTTCAGAAAAGAGACTCAGAACAGTAAGACCCCCACATATTTCATTACAAGACAAAATCGGGAGAGGTGCTGTCTCAAAGTGCCTGCCCCTCGTAAGGACAACCAACCACTGAGCAAAAGCACTGCCCAGCCTGCCCTTCTCCACAGCCGTCCGCCTGCGTTCTGCGTGCCCTTTGGGGTCTCCAACGGCTTTAGATTTATGAGTCCACACAACAACCACGGGGCATGAACCTCTTAAAACATGTCCTCGTTTTTCTTATTAAGACCATTTAATGCAGACTGATAGGTTACAGGCTTCTTGACCACCGTCTAGGTTACAGCCGTCAACCCTCTACTATCAGTGAGGCAGGAGCGTAAGAAGCTGGGGAAATTCCTGGGCAAGTGCAACCGGGAAACTGAGACGAGATCATTAAACAAGGCCAAACAATTTGAACACTTTACAGTGACTCTATCTTCCCTAACCAAGGCCACTTGAGAGCAAATGGTTTACACCTCCCCTCCCTAACCAGAGAACACAGAGCTTAAATCACGCTGGTCAGGCAGACAGATAACAAAGACCCAATTTACGCCATTTGTGCCAGCCAAACCCAAGGACAGATGGAGTCAGGGGAACAAATAACCAAAACAACAACTAGAGCCAGACAGACCCAAGATAAAAGTAAGGCGGTGAAGGTGACCAGAGAATAATCCCAAACTCCCCTATAAGCTCACCGTGAAGTATCAACATTTCGAAGGCCACACCTGGGAAACTAATGAATATTCTGTAAGACCCTCCCCTGAGACCTCCCTAGGACTCCCGCCAGCAGAGAGATAAAAACCCTCCAAACAAAGGCCCAGCACGCCCGGCCTCTTCTCAGGCATGGACTGTTTATTTTCTCTCTCCTCAACTCTCAGGGTCCCCACAAGACTTGCTCTCTGGGGTGTAGCAGGCAGCAGCAGTTCATCCCAAGCTGACCCCAGCTGAACCCGTCTCCAAGGCCCCCCTTCCTGACTTACCAGTGAGCTGACAGCAGCCTGAGTGGCTCACTCCTGTCCCTGTCACTTGTGCTTCCCAGTGAATTCACGCAGCCCAGTGTGGCTCACTTCTTTCCTACTCTTTACGGAGCTAAGCACAGCTCCGTCTGGCTCGCTCCTGCTTCGACTTCTACCTAAGCCTTCCTGTTTCTGACCCAGCTCTGATGAACACACTCACAATCACCTGGACTCGCATTGTGAAATCTTTCCCGCACGCGGTCAGGAACCCACACCCTCCGGGCCGGCCTCAGCAGACCGCTCCGCCCAGTGTCCTTCTGGTGACAGAAGGGGACCTGGAAGTCTTACTCCTGCTCACCCTCCCGACCAGGTGACCTACCCCTGCCACATCCGTCGTTCCCGAGGCCAGGGCTACACAGAGGTGACGAGCACGGACACGGCCTGGCTCTCTTGCGAGGTCTACGTCCCTGGCTTCTTGAGGTTAAACGTTAGTCTGTCTCAGGCTGAGAGGGAACAACAGGGAAGGAGAGTCTCGCCATAAGGCCCAAGACAGCCGTCGGGCTCTGCCCGAAGCCGCAGGTGTGTGCTTTTCTGCACTGAGCTGAGCTTCAAAGCTTGTCATCACCATTTACTCTTCTATTAAGAGCAAACCTCACTCCTCTGTTCTGAGGTCTTCACAGAAGTCACTCTCCACTGCAGAAAGGCAACTGTACCCCCGCCAGGCGGCCTCTGATGGTCCCCCCACCCGGAGCCCGAGGTCTGTGATCGAGGCCTCGCCATCCCAAAGGGCTACCGCTAAGGTTCAGCTCCTTCCGAGAAGAAAGTGCAATTGCTGCTCAGGAAACACAAAGCAGCCACTTACCTGAGAGGAGGCCGCCTGAGTGTCTGACAGCCACCGCTCGCTGCAGCCGCTCGGGTCTGATGCCGCCGGCGCCGGGGAGGTGCGGTCAGAGCAGGCAGATGCGTGCGTCCCGAAGTGGCTGCGGAGGCAAAACAGGAACCTCTGCGTGCAGGTTCTCCTTTCCGTCTCTGGCCCGCTACCCCGTTTTCGTGAATGCTCCCAGAGGAAATCCCTCTAGGAGAGCAGAAGCTCAAGCCCAGACCCCGAGGGTCCCTCCACCAGGTCAGCAGCTCTCCGAGGGGGTCCCGAGTGGCATCGGCAAGCACCCCTGAGTGAGCAGTCAGCCTCGTGCACACAAATGCAATATGTTGAAGATGAACACAGAACGCGTTCAGAATATACCCACCTCTCTGATCTCTCCCACCCAGTGGCCCGCTCACCACCCACCTGCCGTTTCCTCTGCCTGCACGCATCCCCCAGAGGCCCGGGGGTGACCTGCACACCCCAGATAAGAACTCAAGGCTTCTTTGCTTCAAGGAATCTTTTGCTTTTAAATCACCGCTTCCCAATCAGTGTTCCCAGGCGCAGGCCTTCTCCCGCCGCCCCGCCGGCACGCCCGGTGCCGCTTGCTCTTCCCAAGGACTATGCCCGCGGGTCCTCAGCAGCGGTGCTGGGCGCCAGCCTTTCCCTAATGCGCCCGCATGGCCCGCTGCACGCCACCAACACTGGGACCCGAGGGTTTAAAAATCCCTGAACCTTAGCAGCCGCTCCAGCCCCAGGAGCGGGGCCTCGCTGCTCCGTCCGCAAAGGCCTCGCCGGAGAGCAGCTCAGGAGCCGCTGCTCGATGTGAAAGCCACAAACCTGCCCCTTTCAGACGGCAGTTCTCATCTCACATGTCAATATGCACCAGAAAGTGCCGAGACGGTCATTAACTGATGTGGCAAAGAGATCAAGGGCTACGGTGTCTGTGCACACGGCACATCCTCCTACCGAGACAGAAACAAAAACCGCAGGGAAATGGCAGTTCCGTCCAACAGCGCAGCGCGGGCCACGGGTGGAGCGGCCTCTTCGCTGCGAAGGCGCACGCGGTGCGACAAGATGGCAGCCTGGACCCGCCCCGTGGCTCTCTCCACGGCGCCCCTGGGACCCTAACGGAGTGACACCCAGAACCTGCCAACTAGGGATGTGGCCCCCAGTTTTCAAGGCAGGAACGTGCCCCTCGGAGCCCCCGTGCAGAGATGAGCTGCTTCCCAAGAAGCCGCTGGCCACAGGCTTGTGTGAGCTCACACTCTGACGGAATTAAGGGGTCAACGCACAAAACTCATCATGTCACGTAACCGCACAGAAAGGCTTCATCGGCCAGGGACTTCTGAAGGCCTTCAGCCCCCTGCAGACGGCAGGATTCAATTCCTCTTCTAGACCGGCCTGGTCTCTAGTGTGACAGAACCTCATGGGCATCGGGAAGAAAAAGAGGGAGACTGGCACCCAGGCCATGCCAGAGCCGCGGGTTAAAACCAGCCCTTTCCCTGCTTCCATCCCCGCTGTCCAGCTGCTCTGCTCCTGTGAGGGGAGCGGTGCCTGCCCCTCGGGGAGGAGGAAGCTGGCGGCCGTGCTGTGAGGTGAGCACAGGCCCAGGCAGCAGACTGAGCCACCAGCTGCTCTCCCCCGTGAAGGGCACTGTTGTTCATTTCTGGAGGAAGGAACTGGTTCAAACCACGACCAAGGCCACAAAACAACATGACTGCGGAACCCCCGGGGCCTTTTGTCTAAGGTGACAGACATATCACACAGGCCTGCCCCCCACACAGGCCCGAAGGAAATGACAAGCAAACGCAGCGAAAACAGGTTCCTCCTTCAATGGGATGTGGACTTGGCGGGGTTCCCGTCACAGCAGCTCGCTGTCGGAGAAACGAGGACCCACAGAAAGGCCGCCTCGCCGTGAGAGCTCTATCTGGCAGTCCCCCCGTGGCCCCGTGATTTCTTACTGTTCACACTGCTCTCCTCTCCGTGAGCGGCCTCTGACGACCACCGCCCCGCCAAGCAGGCCCAGACGGAGGTGTAACCGCCGGAAATGTAAACTGCGAACCCTGCCTTGCCACTTCGACCTCCTCGCCCGACCAGGGTCCATCGTGATGTCTACGAACCCACCAGACTCTCATCTGTGGACCAGGATAGCAAAAGAGGGCGGGGCAAGTCCAAGAGGCAGAGCTAACAACCCACAATTTATAACCAGATCTGGGCAAAAACTGTAAAGGTGGTTTTTCATGACGTCCAGTGTACGGTGCCGTCCTAGGGACACCTCCCGCCACCTGGGAGGCGCGTGGAGGGACCGCCCTGTGAAAACGAAGATGGGAGGAGGCACCGTTTCGCTGTCAGAACCGAGACTGAACCCATCGCTCTGGCGCAGGGGGCTGCCTGTCGTCCTTCCTGATGGGCCACACACTCCCTAACGGCTTAGAGAAACCCCAGGCGTCTGCAGGAAGTGGGGGCCGCTGCTGAAAGGTTTCGCGGGACCAGAAGGGGGAGTGTAGCTTATGCACAACACCACTTCCCTGTCTCGCACGCTACAGACCAACAGTCTGTCAGTGCCTCAGCTCACGCAGACTTGGTGCATTTTAGAAATCAAAGACGTTCTGAAGGGTAACACGGGTTAAAAGAATATTTCATTGTAAATAACCGGTAAAATTACTCTATACAGTCCCGCAGAATCTGCTGAAGGGTTTTTCTTGCCTCGGATCTTAAAAGTCAAGAAGGAAGCCAGCGGTAAGAGAGTGAAATGACAAACTGCGCCCGGCAGGACAAAAGGAAGGCCTCCCTCTGCCTCGCCGTCCCTGTCCCTTTACTTCGCTGGGGAGCCGGGTCAGAGCGTGGCTCCTGGTGCGACCACCATGGAGGCAGATGCCGTCCACGCCACGTCGCCCACGTAACTGCCGATGCGTCGCTGAGCGGCGAGGGCAGGCCGTGTGCTCACTCACAGCTGAAAATGTTCCCGGAGCAAAACCAGAGAACGCTTATCCCCAACGCGTCCCGTCCGCCAGCACATCAGGAACCCCGGGGCTCCATTTCCTTCCAAATAAAAGGCTCCGGCATCAGCAGTGTGGCTAACAGGTAGGGCTCTCCCTCAAATAACAGAAAGAGAAGGTGTAATACATCAAGAGCACGGCGAAATAAAGTCTCTCTCCTCAGGAAAAGGGCTCCTTCATTCGATTAGAGGATGTGTGACTAAGGGGTCGTTAGGAGTCTCTTCTGCAAGTGTCTGAGCAGTTCATACATACAACAGGAATCGCCAATCGGTAACTGGTTCCTAAAGTCTTTACTGATGGGTTCCAGAGCCCTCCGTCCCGACCGTCCGGCCGGCTCCACTCCTCCCAGGGCTTCCGTGCCGGGGGCGATACTTCTCAGTGATTCGGTGATTCTCCTGACGTTCTGCAAACTTCCCTCAGTACGTGTCCTCATAGTCTGAGTCCTGGAGAGGAAAGGGCAGCGGCTGTGTGAGTACGGGAAGTATCATTAGAGTCAGAATTTAGCCAATGGCCACACGTTAGGACCCCCCACAGGAACCCAGTTTGGGGCAACATCAACATGAGGTGGCACTGGCTCAATCCACCTACATGGTCTCATGGCGAATTTCTGCTTTGAAACCCTAAGCGTTCCCTTTTCCTCGGTGAATACTTTTTAAAACCTCAGCACTCATAGGAAGGCGCCCAGAGGCTGCAGAACGTGCAGGGCTGTGGCCTGGCGTTTAGGCCAGGAGTCAGGCTCCCTCTGAGTTTCAATCCCTTGCTGGCTGGGTGACCTTGAGTCGCACTCTTTAACTTCTCTAAGCCTCAGTTTCCTCATCTGTAAAATGGGGATAATAAAAATACTGACACCACATAGAACAGCTCCGAAAACGGCATGAGACGATGTCTGTAACTCACTAAACACGGCCTGGCTCTTGGTAAGCTAAGCGCCCGTATTCCAACTTGTCCTCACTGCTTTGCACCCAAAGCGGGCCGTTTGGCGCTCCCAGCACACCACACTCCTGCAGGCCATTCCTTCTCCTGCTCTCCTAGATGACTGCGCATACCTTCCCCTCGCCCGAACCTCCAAAACTGCCTCCTCACTCTCTTCGCAGCTGATGATCTTGCTTCCTCCCATCATGGGAACAGAGAAGCAGTCGGTAGTGAACTTCCGCAAGCTCCCATCACCATAGTTACCGACCCCCTGCATCTAGGCCCACCTACTTGCCCTTCCCGGCTCTGCCGAAGGATATACTGCCCTGCTCTTATCTAAGCCAACGTCTTCACTGGTGCACCAGCGCCTGGAGTCCTCTCAAGGGCAGAGCCTATTTTCCCTTCCTGCCGCTTCCTCTCCTCTCACATACAAATGTGCTCTCAATTCTCCCATCTTAAACGGAAAGCAACTCTCAACACCCACTCCCTCACCTGGTGCCCGATTTCAATGCCTCCCTCCACGGAAACCCCATGAAACACTGTACACCCAGTGTAACCAGCAACATGCTGGTCCAGCTTTCACCCCACTTTTCCCTGAAGCTGCTTTGGCCAAAGTCACCCATCACCCCCACAACCCAGGTCATCCAAGAATCAACGCTCATGTCACTCAACCCAACTCAGAGCGACTGGCACCCCCGTTCTCTTTCCCTTTTCAAACACTCTCTTCACTGGGTCCCTGGAGTCCACTCTCCCGGTCCTCCCGTACCTCAGTGCACAGTCCTTCCAGCCTCCTTTGCTGACTCCCCTTCCTCTCCCCACTCTGTCCGCCTTGGAGAACCCCAGGCCTCAGGCCTTGGGCGTCCACTCTGTCTATACTCATTTCCAGGGTGGAAACAGCTCTCCCAGTCTCTGTCTGCTATTGGCACCTACGCCTGTATCGCCAGTCTAGACCTCTCTTCTGAACTCCACACCTAGAGAACCAACGGCTACTCCACATCTCACCTGGGTGTTTAACACGTGTTTCAAACACCATCCACCCAAACCACGCTCTGGCTCTTCCTCCTAAAGCTGTTTCCCCTCAGAGTTGTACATACTAGAAAGCAGCAACTCTGTTCTACTCCTTGTTCAAGTCCAGGGCCTTGACTCCTCATTCTTTCACACAGACACGCAACCCACCAGTAACGCCGCTGGCTTTACCTTCGAACTATAATCAGAACAGTCACTTCTCACCACCCCCACCCTGACCCCAACCCCACCCTCTCCTCTCACTGGCATTGTTGCTAAAGCCTCCTCACCGGGCTCGCTGGCTCCTTCGTGGTCCCTCACCACCTGGGCTCCACCCAGAAGCCAGAACGAGCCTTTTAAAACATACGTCAGTTCACAATCTGTCAAAAACCACCAATGGATTCCATTTCATTACAAACAAATGTCCAAGTCATTACAATCCCTACAACGTCTACAAGAAATGACATGATGTCTCTGAAGGAAAGGGGTGGGCAGAAGGAGCTTCACAGCTGTGAGCACATAAAACAGCTCATTCTTGTATTATTATTTATCTACGAGGTGTGATAGTCTTATCATTTTTTGTATCCTTACTTATGATTTATCCGTTAGGTAATGATGGCTGGTAATTTCAACAATGACCAACAAAAGTGGAAACAAACATCATGGGGGTGCCAGAAGGAGAAGACAGAGATCAAGAAATTGAAAACCTATTTGAAAAAATAATGACAGAAAAGTTGCTTAACCTGGTGAAAGAAATAGACTTACAAGTCCAGGAAGCACAGAGAGGCCCAAACAAGAGGAACCCAAGGAGGCCCACACCAAGACACAGCATAATTAAAATGCCAAGGGTTAAAGACAAAGAGAGAATCTTAAAAGCAGCAAGAGAAAAGCAGTTCATTACCTGCAAGGGAGCCCATATGACTGACAGCTGACTTCTCAACAAAAACTATGCAGGCAGAGGCCAGGGCAAGAAATACTCAAAGTGATGGAAAGTAAGAACCTACAACCATCAGACTGTCGGCACCTGGGAAATGCTGCTCTCACTCTGATGGGGACGCAGCTACTGGGAGGCCCCAGAGACCAGAGGAGGGACTTGAACCTCCTCCGTGCGGAGCTCGGTCTCCTTGGGAAGGGAAAGAAGAGGCTCCGGGTTGACGTGTGGTGGGAAGTAGAGAGGAGCCGGCGTTTGCACCGTCCGCAGTTACGTGCAGACGTGATGGAGGTGTCACACGGGCTAACCTGACAAGATGAGGTCTGTGCACACGCACTGCCCCATCAATGCCGATTCAGGAGGAGGGCTCTCTTGTGGAAATCAGAAGTTTCTTGGGGGGAAAGTACACCCACAGGGGTCAAATGGGGTCAGGTGTTGCTTGTTCAGTATCTCAAGCCCAGAAAGATTAGTCGATTCTTGAAGGAAATGACATTGAACTTGTATCAAATTCAGCTGCTTTGATTCAGCGAGCCACAACAGTTAAAGCAAGATCAGAAAATGTTTGGATGGTATCTATGTTTCTTTAAAAAGGACCAGTTCCACGGGCTGATGAATAAGATCTAAGTTGTCCAGCTATAGAAACAGCAAGATGCCAGGTGATTCCTCAGACAATTTGCAATATTTTAAAGATGCAATGCCCGGCCAGTGTGGTTCAGTGGCTAAGCATTTGATTCCCGGTCAGGGCACATACCTGAGTTGTGGGCTCGATCCCCAGTGTGGGGCGTGCAGGAGGCAGCCAATCAATGATTCTCTCTCATCATGGATGTTTCTATCTCTCTCTCCCTCTCCCTTCCTCTCTGAAATCAATAAAAATATATTTTTTTAAAAAGATGCAATGAAAGCCATGTAATGAAGGAAAAACCCAAGGGTCTGCAGAAAAGTTCGATTCCGGGCTCTGGATGCAGCCGGTCGAAGTCTCCTAGAGTGAGCGCAGGGCAGAGGACACCCTCCATCAGCAGGTCCCCTGTCACCCAGCGGAGACTGCGCCGCGGAGCCCCTACCCCAGTCCAAAGCCACCACTCTGTGCCCAGGAGACAGAAGACAAAACACAACCGTTTGAGCTGAGGGAGTCCCCTGAACCCTAACAGACCTCGGTTGCCACCATGCTCTGGACCGACCGGCACGACCCTCTGCGGCCACCGAAGGCAAAGGGTCCCCGTAAATGAGCCAAGAAGCGACCCAGGAACAGGGCACAGAAGAGGGGCGTGGCTTACCAAGCACTCGGCACAGCGGACGCAGAGCCTGGCCATGCAGTCGTCCTCCTCTTGGTCAGTGCTGCAAAACAGGACACCGCCCCCCCCGAAACCATCACTGGCTCCGCACGGCACAGCAGGCACTGAGGTCCACAGCTCTGCTGTCAGACCCGGCTCTGCCGTCTTTGGCAGGGTGCCTGGCAGGTGACTTCAGCTCTGGCACTGTTTCCTCATCTATAAAATGCAGATATTAGCCTGGCCGGCGAGGCTCAGGGGTTGAGCGTCAACCTATGAACTAGAAGGTCATGGTTTGATTCCCCGTCAGGGCACATGCATGCATTGTGGGCTCCATCCCCAGTGTGAGGCGTTCAGGAGGCAGCTGATACATGATTCTCTCTCATTATTGATGTTTCTATCTCTCCCTCTCCCTTTCTCTCTGAAAACAATTTTAAAAATGTATTTTAAAAAATTATTGGCTTTAAAAAATAAAAATAATAAAATGCAGATATTACATCTATGCTTAAAGCACAGTGGTTAGGAGTAAATAAAAAATAAATACACATCAAACACATCCACAGTGCCTGGCACATAGTAAGTGCTCAATAAATGGGAGCTGGTCACAGCCACTCCTTTAGAAATGTACGAGCACCAGGCATGCCTGAGGCCTCGTGCTGGGCGGGGGACAAGGCCATCGCTAGAGCACAGCCCCTGGGAGTGTCCCCGCCTCCTGGGGTGAGAGGCCTGCTGAGCCGTAGAAGCTCGCTCGCATGCCAGGCCACCAGGGTTTGAACAGTGGAGGTAACCGCTGTGGAGCAAAGAGGAGGGGTGACTCCTCCTCCCTGAGACTCAGGAAAACTCAAGAGAAGGGTTGCCACTGGGTCTTGGAGGGTGAGGAAGAGCGTTCCAGCGAAAGAGGGAAAGGAGGAGGGGACCCAGGGGAGAGGGAGGGTGTGGCGGGAGACGGGGTGCCCGGAGTGCAGCTTGCGGAGAGAAGACAGAAGCTCGCTGTGGCTGGAACGCAGAGCACACGCACGGGAAGTGGCCGGGGACACGGCGGCTGTGGGAATCCTGCTGGTTCTGAAGGAACGAGGCATCTACTTCACAATTTAAGTTCAGAACCAAAGGACCCATCGTCCAATTTCCAGAGCAGGAAGCTCGTGCCTGCTATCACCCCACCTTTCCCCCAATCTGCCCCCAGGCTTCACTTTCAGCCTCCCGTCCAGTACTGCTCCCCAGAACTAGCCTCTTCGAGGGGAGAGTTCATAAGCCAAACCGAGAAGACAAACGTCACGTGGTCTCACTGCGGAACCTAATGAACAAAGGACTTGACCAACCAAATAAGACCCGAAGCAGGAGGCCTGGGACAACTGGCACACCTCGATGTGGGTGGGGCGAGAAGAGACAAACCCAAGGACTTACATACTTACATGCATAGCCCAATGGGGGGGGGGGGGTAGGAGATATCTGTAATACTATCAACAATAAAAAATATATTAAAAAGGAAAAAAAGGACATTTCACCAGCAGAACTAAGCTTAGCTGGGAGTAAGAAAAGCAAGGATGCAGGGGCCTGGCACCGTCCACAAGGCAGGGATCTGAGAGGGTTAGGGTTCACCGCTCGGGGCTCCGGCTGCACTTACTCATCTGAAACCTCGATGGACGACTTCTTGTAGCCGGACTTGCTCCTCTTCCTCAGCCCCGCAGACTTCCTCACCATTCTCACCAGCAGCAGAGCCACCACCACCGCCGAGGGGACGAAGACGAGGATGGAGAGGAGGGCCACGGAGGACAGCATGGTGCCGAAGCCTGCGGGAGGAGCAGGCAGAGGAGGCCCTGCAGACATGTTCCTTTGACATGAAATGGGTCTCACTTTTGCACTCACACTTTTCTCGTAACAAAAGAAATAGATTCAACAGACAGAAAGGTAAGAACTAAACACGCAAAACGGGTAAAAACTTACCCGGAATCCTACTACCTAGAGCAGTGATGGTGAACCTTTTGAGCTTGCGTGTCAGCATTTTGAAAAACCCTAGCGTAACTCTGGTGCCGTGTCACATATAGAAATTTTTTGATATTTGCAACCATAGTGAAACAAAGACTTGTATTTTTGATATTTATTTTATATATTTAAGTGCCATTTAACAAAGAAAAATCAACCAAAAAAATGAGTTCACGTGTCACCTCTGACACGCGTGTCATAGGTTTACCATCACTGACCTAGAGTAACGCTTTGTCATCTACCCATTCCATCTGCTTCCTAAGACACATGACTAGGGTCTGCATAGGGAGGACAGTGCGTGTTTTTAAAAGCGTGAGTCATATTTTATGTATCATTCCCAACCCCTAGTTACTCACTACACAAGTACCTTATATGTCAGTAAAGGTTCCTTCCAGATCTGACCTTTTGTAAAAATATTTTTTATTGGCTTTTAGAGATAGAGGAAGGGAGAGAGATAGAAAGATAGAGACAAACATCATCAATCGGCTGCCTCCTGCACTGGGGACCGAGCCCACAACCGGGGCATGTGCCCTGACCGGGAATCGAACTGGTGCCCTCTTGGCTTCTGGGTCGACGTTCAACTGCTGAGCCACACCGCCAGGCGAGACCTTTTTCATGGCTCGTAGTATTCTATCGCCCTGTGTCGTTTACGGACTCAGTCCTCGAGTGCTGACCATTCAAGTCACCCCATTCTCTGAAGTTATGAATGACATGATGATCAGCCTTATACATAAACCTTCATGTTGAGCTCTATTTCTTTAAGGTAACTTTTTAAACAGAATTCTAGATGGAAGAGTGCACACCATTAAGACACCCGATTCACACTGCCAGCTGTCTTCCAGAGACACTGTGTCCCTTCTGCTCCCACCACCAGGAGGAAGGTGCTCAGGTCTTTGAAATGTATGGGTGATTGTCTTTTAAAAAATCAGATAGTCCTGTATCTCTAAGCCTTCGGTTCAAATCCAACCAAGGGCTGGGATGCCACTCGTCCCCGGGAAGTGAGGCAGATAAAAAGGGAGTCCTTCGCCTGTTCTCCTGTCACTGAAAGGCAACTGCTGGTCTTCACAGCACAAAGGCGCTGCCTCCACCACGGGGCGGGGGGACCCTCCATCACGGGGTAGGGGGACCACGGGGCGGGGGGGCCTCTTCAGGACCCAGGCAAGCACATGTCTCATCACTGAGGATGAGAACACGTTAGGGAAACCAGATGACTTCTCCTTCACAGAGATAACCATCCTCCGTTTACTCAAGGATTTGTCACACATTGTTCACAAGACCCCTGGTCACCTGAAGTCTAAAACAACAAAGAGAAATGGAGAAACTATGACAATATCTGAAGAAAGACTTCAGTTTGGCCCTAGGCGGTGTGGCTCAGTGGATGCAGCATCGGCCCGCGGACTGCAAGGTCCTGGGTTCGATTCTGGTCAAGGGCTCATGCCTCGGCTGCAGGCTCGATTCCCGGCCCCAGTCAGGGCACCTGGGGGAGGCAACCAATCGATGCATCTCTCTGATGCATCTCTCTCACATCGATGTCTCTCTTTCTCTGTCTCTCCCTCCCTCCCTTCCACTCTCTCTAAAAGTCAATGGGAAAATATCCTCGGGTGAGGATCCACAAAAGAAGGAAAAAGAAAAACGTCGGTTTGCAGAATAAAGATTAAAAAGTGCATCCTAATGGACAACTCAACTGGCTTAAGACAGGTGGCTCCGCTGTCATGGTCTCTTCCCCAGAGCGCAGCCCCACACCCTCAGGGGCTGGAGGAGGCTCACCCCTCTCTGACTGTGAGCCCCTCAGGGCGGTGGGCTCACCCCTCTCTGACTGTGAGCCCCTCAGGGCGGTGGGCTCACCCCTCTCTCTGACTGTGAGCCCCTCAGGGCGGTGAGCTCACCCCTCTCTGACTGTGAGCCCCTCAGGGGCTGGAGGAGGCTCACCCCTCTCTGACTGTGAGCCCCTCAGGGCGGTGGGCTCACCCCTCTCTGACTGTGAGCCCCTCAGGGCGGTGGGCTCACCCCTCTCTCTGACTGTGAGCCCCTCAGGGGCTGGAGGAGGCTCACCCCTCTCTGACTGTGAGCCCCTCAGGGGCAGTGGGCTCACCCCTCTCTGACTGTGAGCCCCTCAGGGCGGTGGGCTCACCCCTCTCTGACTGTGAGCCCCTCAGGGGCAGTGGGCTCACCCCTCTCTGACTGTGAGCCCCTCAGGGCGGTGGGCTCACCCCTCTCTGACTGTGAGCCCCTCAGGGCGGTGGGCTCACCCCTCTCTGACTGTGAGCCCCTCAGGGCGGTGGGCTCACCCCTCTCTGTGACGGTGAGCTCCGTTGCGGGAATGTTATGGTGCACGTCTGGGGGATTCTTCACGGCGCAGCTGAAGGTCCCGTTGTCCCTGGTGGTGGGGTTGCTTATGCTTATGGACGCGTCCCCTTTGTACACGTCTCCGACCCAGGAGATCCGGTCGCGAAACGTGCCCGCGGTGCTGGGGTACTGGAAGGACTGGTAGTGGAAAATCTAAGAAAGCAGCACAGGAGAGAAACAGTTAATTCAAAAAACGCAATGACAGCGGAACGCTTAGAGGTCCCAAGTAAAATAAGGTGTGTCAGGGGTCTTCTCCATTGCGCACTGTTTTATTCTTGGTTTGCCTCCATCCTGTGGGTTCACAGAGGCCAAGGAACCAGAGGCAGGCCTGACGGAAGGCTTCCCCCGCACCCTGGAGCCTCTTCTTGTCTCCCTCACGTCCTGAAGCAGGAGCTCTCTAAGGGCGGGCGATCTCGCCTCAGAGGACACGGGCAATGTCTGGAGACAGTTTTGCTTGTCGCAACGGGGGGAGTGCTGCTGCCTCCCGTGGATGGAGGGCAGGATCTTACTAAAATCCTACGATGGCCCGGCCGGCGTGGCTCAGTGATTGAGCGTCGACCTATGAACCAGAAGGTCACAGTTCAATTCCCAGTCAGGACACATGCCTGAATTGCAGGCTTGATCCCCAGTGTGGGGCGTGCAGGAGGCAGCCGATCCATGATTCTCTCTCATCATGGATGTTTCTATCTCTTTCTCCCTCTCCCTTCCTGTCTGACATCAATAAAAAAATAGATTTAAAAACAAAAATAAAATAAAATCCTATGATGCGTAGAAGAGCCTCCACCACAAAAAGTCCTGCAGCTCAGAATGGCAGCAGTGCCAAAGCTGAGAAACCCTTTTCCAAAGTAGCACCTAATCCTATATAATAAAAGGCTAATATGCAAATCGTCCCCTCGACTGGGAGTTCGACCAGGGGGTGGGGCCGGCCAACCGCCGGAGACCCCTCCCCCCTGCCAGCCCAGCCCCATCTGCCCGATCTGGGCGGGCAGGCTGGGCCCCACCCATGCACAAATTCGTGCACCAGACCTCTAGTCTTCGTCTAACACTGTAGGGTTTACAAATGACTCCTATGCATTTGCCCATTTGAGCCTCATAACAACTACATTTGGGGCAAGTATAATTCTTCCAAATTTATAGAAAGGGAAACAAGGTCCAGAACAAAAAACTAAGTGAGTTATCAAAGGCACATGGCCAGTAAGTGAAAAAGGGGGATTTCTGTATATTTTCAAAATCACCAGGAGGATATGATATAACCAAGCCTCTCTCAAGTTACTTATCTTGGCAATTAACAAAAGTCCGGCTGATGCATGATCAGCACTCAGTCCTACTTGTGGCCACGGGCAGAGGGAAACAAGGCGTGTGCTGAATTACAACACCGCTGCCTCAGGAGGGTGACCGGATGCTTCCCAGCAAAGCACCTACGTACACCTGCTGGTGGCCCGGCAGGTCCTGCGACACCACACGATCATCTCAGGCGGGAGTCTGGCTGTCCCCTTTCTCTGCTTACTTGGCACCTCCCCTCTTCGGAACCACTGCCCAATTGTGAAGAGCAACTTCCCAGAGAAGATGCTGAATCACTTATGGGTCCCTTGTTCATGCATTCATCCAACAACTACGTACTGCACACCTACTGTGTGCTATGCCAAAGGAGATAATGGGAGCCACAGAAGCACAGGCCCTGCTCTCATGGAGTCTGAAGTCTGGTGGGAAACACAGGCATTAATAAATAACAACATGCATGCTCTGTGTTCCACAAAGGGACACAGAGAATGCCTACTGCTGCCCTGGCCCGTGTTGCCCAGTGGATAGAGTGTCGGCCTGCGGATCAAAGGGTCCCGGGCTCTATTCCAGTCAAGGTCACGAATCTCGGTTGCAGGCTCCTCCCCGGCCCAGGCCCTGGTCAGAGCGCATGCAGGAGGCAACCAATCATGCAGGAGGCAACCAACCAATGTGTTTCGATATTTCTCTCTGTCCTTCCCTCTCTCTTACACTTTCTGGGAAAATATCCTTGGGTGAGGATTAAAAAAGAAAAAGAATACCTACTGCTGATGATCAGCATCAACATAAAAGAAAGGGTCTGAAACTCCCTACTGACCAAACAAGGCCTGCTGTGCACTTAGAGATGGATGTGACCTCGAATTCCAAGTTCAGTGGAGGTGCAAATCCTGGTTAGTCTGCCAGGACGTAACTGCAGCATCACTTCATGTGCCTTTAAAGGCCCAGGAACTCCGAGCTGGTGAACGGGCTTCCTGACCAGCTCACAGGAAGCGCCACACAAGAACCCTTGCTGTTTGCATCTGAGGTTTCTGACCCAAGAAAATCCCCCTTGCTTCTTCTGTCCTACTTTTGGCCACGGGGGCAGAACGAAACAAGGCCAGCCACAGTTTCCAACCACTCAAAATAAAGTGAACTATTTTAAGTTTAAAGAAAAAAAAGGACCATGAATACAGCCTGGTTTCCTTCACCAGAGCCACCGGCCTAACCCCAAGCTTCCTGGCAGTCAACAAGGACTCCTAACACGAAATGCAAAGCCACACGTTAAAATCAATCGGAAAGTTTTCCCAATGAAGGAAACAGGAAAGCAGATTAAAGGGACTTCCAATACTACAGTCCTATACACAGCTGACATCCACATTCCTGACCGCAGCTACCCTGAGCCGAGGGTGCTGCTGGAGACATAACAAGGGGGTTTTGTTTGTTGTTGTTGTTGTTAATCCTCACCCGAGGATATTTTTCCATTGATCTTTTATAGAGAGAGTGGAAAAGAGAGGAAAAGACGGAGAATAACATCGTTGTGAGAGAGACTCGTGCATTGGTTGCCTCCTGCACATGCCCCGACTAGGGCCCAGGCCAGGAGGAGTCTTTAACCGAGGTACGTGCCCTTGACCGGAATCGAACCTGGGACCCTTCAGTCCAAGGGCCGACCCTCTATCCACGGAGCCAAACCAGCCAGGGCAAGAGAAAGGGCTTTTTAACTAGACCTCCACATGGGATCTGAACCATAAATGCAGTCTATATGTGACACAAGGATACTGCTTCTACTATTAACAGACCATCTGTCACCGACAGCATCTGTCAGTCATCAAAGGAACCACCTAAATCAGTGCTGAGGTTTACACTACGGCGCCGCCAGCGAATCCACAGAGCACAGGTCCAGAGCAGACACGCCCACTGAGGCCACCTGGGCGGCAGGACGTGAGCAGCTGTGAGAGAGGGATGCCTGCGCTGGGACCCAGAGAACCTTTCTCCCCACCGGTCCTGCAGGACCACTGAGCACACGGAACCTGAAAACGAAGCTACGAAGCCAGGCCAACAGAAACCACCAAGAGGGAGCACGTCCAGCCACATGTCCTCTGAACTTCGGACGAGCTATTTCCTGTCGCTTATTTGCAACTCTTGCAGCGAAGAATGAACAGCCTCACGTGACCCAGTGACGGTCGGGCAGGTGACGCACATCCTCCAGTCTGACGGCGGAGGGGCGCCTGGACTCGGGGTGAAAGGGCCCCCGGCTGCGGAGCACAGGAGACGCGAGGACAGCTGTTTGCCACACACTTACTGACTCTGTGCGGCTGCTGCTGGGGGGCCGGTAGGTCCAGTCTATGGTGAGCTTGTCAGTGACAGACGACGTCGACTTGAAAATGCATTTCAACTTGATCTTCTCTCCAACATAACCCCGGACATGCGCATCCACTTTAATCTCCAAGGTGAGGACCGTGTGAACACCTGGTCAAAGCAAGCCAGACATTGGAAATTTGTTCGTTTGGAATATAGAGATGACTGAACGATATAAACGTGCTACTTATCGTTTTTCAGGCTCTCATAAACACCATCGCAACGAACACCTCCCCGTACCAGCCCGGGGGACCAGGCGGACATCCGCATCCATCACGGCAGTGTTTTTGCCGTTTTACAGTATGAAGTCGTAGGAGGAATGCTGGGTGAAACTGTAAAAGTGGGTTTTCCCAAACACAGATGCGTGGCTGGACTGGTGCGAACAAGTGGGTCAGCCCACAGCACGCCAAGCGGCGCCACCACCCACGCCCCTCACACTCCTCCAGGAACATGTCGCTATTGTGGTTTGAGGGACTTCCCCCAGGACAGCATGGCTACAACCTGCAGCTGCCACTGCCTCAACCACCGGCACAGTGCGAATAGGAAAAAAGACAGGACTTTATTTTTTGGTTTGTGTGTGTATGTGTGTTTTGTTTGTTTGTTTTTCAAAAAATCATATAAAACTGCCCTAAGGTTCTATCTAGCTTTGTTTTGGTTTTTCAGTCTTAAAGCTGGTTAATGACTCACACATCCACTAAAAGTAAACCAGGGCACCCTAGCCGGTTTGGCTCAGTGGATAGAGTGTCGGCCTGCAGGCTGAAGGGTCCCGTGTTCGACTCTGGTCAAGGTCACAAGCTTGGGTTGCAGGCTGGATCCCCAGTGGGGGGGCCTGCAGGAGGCAGCCAATCAACGATTCTCTCTCATCATTGATGTTTCTATCTCTCTCCCTTTCTCTTCCTCTCTGAAATCAATAAAATAGATTAAAGAAAAGAAAAATTTAAAAGTAAACTAGGGGGAGGAAAACAAAACAACCTAATGCATTCTAAAATCTATCTACAGGCGGTCCTCGGGTTACGTCGGACTCAACGTACGTCGTTTCATGGTTACATCGCCAGCTCCCACCTAAACTAATAAAAGGGAAATATGCTAATTAAACCGGGAGACCTTCCAGACAAAGCCATGGTGGCGGGGCCGAGGCAGAGGCGGTTAGGGGCAATCAGGCCAGAAGGGGAGGGCAATTGGAGGAGGGCAGGCCGGCTGGGGGTGGGGGCAGTTGGGGGTGAGCAAGCCAGCAGTGGGGGGCAGTAGGGGCCATTCAGGCCGGCAGGAAGGGCAGTTGGGGGCGAGCAGGCCGACAAGCAGAGTGGTTAGGGGTGATCAGGCAGGCAGGCAGGTGAGCAGTTAGGAGCCAGCGGTCCCGGATTGCGAGAGGGATGTCTTACTGCCACAGGGATCGGGCCTAAACTGGCAGTTGGACATCCCCTGAGGGGTCCCAGATTGGAGAGGGTGCAGGCCAGGCTGAGGGACAC